AAAAGTGAAAAGACTCCCAGGAATGAAAGTATCGAACAGCTCAGATCCATAGAGCACGGCCTTTGGGAAGCTCTCACTGTTCGATTTAGTTGGTACTTGGCGTCATCTAGAGTTGAAAACAGTTTTTTTTTTTGCACAAAAAAGGTGATAGGGAAGATCTGGTGAATTAACACCCGATCTGCCTTCCATACTTACAAGCTGTTCGCAAGAATTATCGCTAACCGTCTAATAAGACTCCTCGAACAGCAGCAGAGGGAACAGCCTGCATCCCGAAATAATTTCAATATGATGAGCCACATTTTCGTACTAAACCAGCTGGAACATGGAATTACAAACTCCCTCCTAGAAATAGTACTTTTTTCCACTTTAGTCCGCATACTAATCGAGAGGAGAATGAGGCAAGGCGATTCCGTATTACACATGCTTTTACTACCTGCTTTGGAAATTGGATTGGAAAGGTGGCCTGAATCAGTGGTGAGCAGCTAAATCACTTACGCTTCGCGGATGGCATAGTTCTTGTTGCCAACAACCCCATAAATAAACGAAAAGCTGAACGAACTGAAAGTGCTGCAGGAGTTGAAGGAAGTGGGCCTGAAAATCAGGGCATCGAAAACGAAGGCGTTGCAAAGTCCCAGTTTGCCTGCGGCAAGATTGCAGATGTGGGCTTGGAAGAAGGTAACTGTTACGTCTGTCTCGGACAAAAAGTAAATGTGTGACGCAATCTTTAGCCGGTGATTGCAGGTCGAAATGCTGCCGGTTGGCGCAAATTCCACAGCATCGTCGATAACCTCAAAACGTCGAATCGGAAGGGTCATGTCCACCTTTTCAATACTGCTGTGTTGAAGGAAACGTAGTTACCCGAGAAATTTGAGGAGCGAGCGCTGGCAGTGACGGGGAGAGCAATGGTGTGACGGACTGCCGAACTGATTTTAGCGTAACTTATTTTACCGAGAAGTAGAGGAGATATGTATATATCTGCCCGGGTTTCCGGAACATTGTACCCGTGTCAGACATAGTCCTGGAAACATGCAATCACCTTTCACAGGCCTAGAAGTGCGTTCATGTGCGACTTTGGTTCTCAGTTGTAGTTTGCTACTTGTAAGGAAGCTCTTAGTTTGTATGAATTGCTTTAAATAGCGAGGGACGCCAGGCTAGCGCCAGCATGCGTCTTCTGCTTAGTTTGTTTAGTTGGTTTTGAAGTAGTGTAGTTACTTTTGTACCAGTCGTTTAATCATTTGTCTACGACGGTGAAGAAAATTTATAATCATATTGCAGCTTAAAAAAACCGAATTTCGAGCATACGATACTGAGACAGAGGATCTCACCAATGCTACCGCTTGCTTTTATAATCAGTATCTCCGGTACTTCTGAGAGGACGCTCAGAGTTTCGCTGAAAAGCAGGGACGACATTTGCGCCGTTGCTGTCCTCCAGAATTCTTCCGTAAGTTATTCGATCTCGTGTCCTATCGCTCTGGAGTATTTTGCTCCATCGGACTAAACTTGGGATTCATCATTTCAACGCAGGATCTAGGTACTGATGTTCTAAACTGGTTGGTGGCCCGGATAGCCTGTTATGATTATTGCGCATGTCTGGTCGGTTTTGCTCATTACTGAAAAATACTTGCTGAGCAAATCAGATTACATACAGATCTGCACCGCAACGATTAAAGAGAACTAGCCATCTGTCGTTCAAAATATACGAAAACATGGTCGACAA